TCCAATAGCACGGATTGCTCTTTCCGAAAATGACACTTTCTACTAAAAAAACTCACTTTTCGATCAATTTACCGGGAACTATGCCAGGAGTCGCTTAGTGAGAAAAAAAACTGATAATTTATATCAAGCGAATACCGAGAAAACTTCCAAAACAACGGAGCGCGAAACAAGTCGACCGTACTTCTTGCTAGGACGCAGTGAGATGAAAAAAAGATAGTATAGCGTCATTACCAACAGCTGTTTCGTTTAAAAAAATAAATTGCAATGAAATAGATCATCACTAAGCATTTGCACATTTCACTAACACTAATAATCCCTTTGGCTCAGACCTTAAATAAAGGATATTGCATCATACCTACATCAAATCTTATGGTGATAAGCTCCAACCGGTATTATCCTCGGATTAAATCCCGATCAAGAATGTCAAGCTGCTTTTATGTCGACATCAGAGATAATTAACACAACTCTAAGCAAACAGTTTGTAGATCATCCAAACAGGGACGGTTTTAAAAGTTAATCCGAGTTGGAGCTTACCGCCATTAGCATATTTTTGCATCCCGCATAAACAATAACCATAAGAAGCGCCTAACCATCAATTCGGGATATCATCCCAACTTTATGCGGTATGGTCGTACCCTGCGCTTTAGTCAGAGAGCGTATAGGGCGTCGTTGTGCCAATTTGGTCGTGGCACATTTCGAGTATGAGAGAGTGATTGCAGTTTGTTAAAAAGCGCCTGAGTAAAATGCAAGTATTTGCGATGACTACCCTTAGTTGTTACAGTGAAGATATATACCCATATCCTCGTTTATGTCTGGACGTGTTTGCCATACAGAAACATTTTTATTTGATTTTGTGTGGTGGATGGGTTTCGGGCGTGGACGGGCATATGGGTGATAATATTAAGTTTACGTTAGGATAATGTTGAAAAATTGAGAAATGTATCGCTTCAGCTTGAGAAGCACTTCACTTCGCAATCGATGAACCATTCTGACGGCCCACATTACCGTGCAGGCTCCGTGTGTTGGCAGGGTCCAATATTGGACAGTTTAATTGGTTTAATGTTTATAAAGTACCATCAGTTAAAATTGTAATTTTGAGCTTTATCTCTATACATTCTTAGGTGTTTCTTTGTAGATTATCATGTTGGTGTACGCTGATTCAAAGAGTAAATGATATTAACATTGAGCTGTCCATAGTTGGGCCACAGACAAACAGACATAACACTCGCAAGTTGTTCATCTAACAAGCATTTAACGGTCAATTTAAAAGTATCGTAGTTGATAGTACCGCCACCTGTGGCGCGCATAGTCAATTCCCTTGCGTTTGACGTTTACACACTATCACCATCTGTTCAGCGTACTACCCACCACAGTGTACTCAACAGATGGCGATAATGTTTTAGCGACGATGTTTTACAGTGAGAAATATTCAATCTGTTATGTCTGTTTGTCTGTGGTTGGGCGTTGTTGAACTTGTGGTATTTTTTTTTTCCTTTGGTTTGTTTTTTCCGTCCTACTGGTCTACGATTCAAAGTTGGATTCTGTGGTTATAATTATCACATATAAGGTAAAATAGGTAGCATCATCTTTATCGAAATGTAAGTATTATTGATAATAACCATAACTAGAAAGGTACCTGGATCAACATTTTTTAAACATGCGCATTCAATCGTGACGGCATCTAATTCTGCATTTTAAACCTACCCAACCCTCTTCCTTTCTACAATCCCTGAGCAGCTGGTTCACCATAAGTGTACTTCGCAGAACTTTTTTAACCCCCATGGGTAAAGATGCTGTGTTGCTCACTCCTCTCCCCTTCCCTGGTGTATTATGGATGGTGTGAATATTCACATCGGTGACATGGCCCCTGACCCCCTTGTACATCATAAAATGAAAATGAAAATGAAACTTTATGCGGTATGGTCGTACCATCTATGATATTGTAATTGTATGGTACCCGTTTATTAGGGTATAGGTTCTTGATTACCTATACTTGTCTTGGAATAGGGTTTCGGGGGATTTAAGCCAATCGTAACCCTATAGCACAAACGAAGTGACAGACTACTAACTGGCGAAGAAATCCATTTAAATAATGTGGTTCACTGTAATAGAATTTTCTTGGAAGCTTGTGCCATCATCCACCAGATGGGTTATACCTTATACAGACATACAAAGTTCACTGTTGTACTACCGTCACAAACGAAGTGACAGACGACTAACTGGCGAAGAAATCCATTAAAATAATGTGGTTCACTGTAATAGAATTTTCTTGGAAGCTTGTGCCATCATTCACCAGATGGATTAATTTTTTTGTTTTGATTTGAACAAAGTTGATTTTGTGTACAATGATTCTTTGACAGTGTGCAAAGAGTGTATCATTTTGTCATTTTTTTATGCATTTCAGTTTTGAGTAGAGTGAAAGAGATAGAAACAAAACATTCATGATAATGCTAGTACAATCCAGTAGTAGTGTTGCCATGTGGTACAATCCAGTAGTAGTGGTGTTGCCATGTGGTACACTGAAAAATTGAAATAGCAGGTTAGTCACCAAAGTTTTCGAGCCGCTCCGTCTGTCACTTCGTTTGTGCTACCGTTGTACCAACAATTGAACCACATGGCAACACTACTACCACAAACGAAGTGACAGACGACTAACTGGCGAAGAAATCCATTAAAATAATGTGGTTCACTGTAATAGAATTTTCTTGGAAGCTTGTGCCATCATTCACCAGATGGATTAATTTTTTTGTTTTGATTTGAACAAAGTTGATTTGGTGTACAATGATTCTTTGACAGTGTGCAAAGAGTGTATCATTTTGTCATTTTTTTATGCATTTCAGTTTTGAGTAGAGTGAAAGAGATAGAAACAAAACATTCATGATAATGCTAGTACAATCCAGTAGTAGTGTTGCCATATGGTACAATCCAGTAGTAGTGGTGTTGCCATGTGGTACACTGAAAAATTGAAATAGCAGGTTAGTCACCAAAGTTTTCGAGCCGCTCCGTCTGTCACTTCGTTTGTGCTACTACCATAGAGGTAACTCTAAGACCAGAAGGTCCCGAAATAACGTGCTCAACTTTTTGGCTCAGCTCTGGTACTCTCTTCGGTCCCAAGCTAATCGATTCACCCCTCGAAAAATAAGAAAAACCACTAACCTCTCATTTTATCTGTCAAACTTTCATAGCGAATCAAAACAAACATTGCGTAGTACTAGAATTTCGACTAGAATGGGGTACGTTAATCGTTTGCTTGGGACCAATAGGCTAGTCAAGTAGTGAGCCAATTTAAAATCGTTAGTTTCGTATTGATTGTTGCTACTACTGGATTGAACTAGCATTTTCACCAAATGTACTAGAATGTTTTGGTTCTATCTCTTTCACTCTACTCAAAACAGAAACGCATAAAAAATGACAAAATGATACGCACCCTAATAAACGAGCACCATACATGAACGATACCACAAATCGTGCCACCGTATCACATATTGTTGGGATGATAACCCGAATAGGTTGTTAGAGGTTGTTAGGCACTCTTTATGGTTATCGTTTATGCGGGCACTCTTTGCACACTGCCAAAGAATCATCGTACACAAAATAAACTTTGTGCAAAACCAAAACAAAAATACTATCCCATCTGGTGGATGATGGCACAAGCTTCTAAGAAAATTCTATTACAGCGAACCACATTATTTTAATTGATTTCTTCGCCAGTTAGTCGTCTGTCACTTCGTTTGTGGTTTTACGCTGGACCCTTACTCGTATGAAATTTGTTTGCTCCGAAGCATCCAATGTCAAAAAAAATTGTTGGTGCCGATCCTGTCATCTTTGGAGATCAATTTGGTACATTCCTTGGTGCAGCCACAATTCTCCAAAATTGCAGCATGTGCACGACCACCATATCGAGCTTCCGGATTTCTTTTTTGGTCCTTTTTCTCGGAGCTTGGCTTGACTCCTCGATATCTCCGTCCATCCCAAAAAAGCTGTCGTCCAAATCCTGAACGTACTTCGGTGAACACCGGTTTTCTGACACTGAATCGTTTCTGGGGATCTTTTTTTGCACCACCAATGGAGAAGATTCGAAAAAAGACCGTTGCAAAGTCTCATGCTCGTAACGCGAAAACCACTCACTGACCCTAACTTCAAGATCGTATCCTGGACACTCTTCATCGGAACTTTCACCGTACCCGTAAGTTTCTATCGTTTCCAAAGCAGACATTGTGTTAAAATCCAGAAATATTTTTTTTTAAACAGAGAAGAACGCGACAGATTAGATTTTTGACCGTATTAAAACAACGAACGCCGACAGCAAACTAGAAGCGTCAAGGTATGCTGGGACTGATATGCGGTTACTTTGTGACATGATAGACAAAATGACCGCATGTCAGTCCCATCGATATTTTTTCTCTACAATGGATTAAATTTTAAATTTATTTCACCTAATAGTATCAAAAACATTACTTCTCATAGTATAACGTAATAACATTATACAACAAACATGCGAAACAGGCTGTGAAAAGATTAAAATGATTTCAGCTTTCATCGCTGTTTTCTCGGTTAGTTAGATTTTCGTATGGGACTGATAAGCGATTCTATACTGCCTATAATCGCATATCAGTTCCTTATAGATTAAGTTTACCCAGATTGGACGCAAAGCGGAGAAACCAAAATTTGTGTAAATTTGTTTCCTTTATTGTTTCTAAACGAAACTGGCAACACGGACCGTGCAGCATAAAAACAAAACTCTCTTGAAATTGAATCTGAGCACTTCGCTGGCTTGCCATTTCGCCCGAGAGCCGGAAGTATTTTAGTGTCATTTTTATGTTTTGAAGCGAAAAACTCGCTTCGGATCGCCGACGATCGCTTGATGGGTGACAGATCGAGAAAGAGAACAGTGCAAATAAATAATACAATTTGGGCTTTGTATGTGTGTGTGTGTGTTGGCAAATCCGTATACGGACGGACGGGACGAGACGCTCGCCACACAGGACCAGATCGCATCCTCATCTCTCGCCGATGGGATTGATACGCGTTTTCTTCACCCCGAGTGTTGGCCTGAATTACAATGGTGAAAAGTAGTTAACGTACGTGTGAATATATTTTTCCGCTAAACAGTTTGTTAAAATTTTACAACTTGGATGAAGTTTTCGGTTTCGGTTAACGGTGATATTACGAGCAGATGTATTGTGAACGATGTTCGATGAAATCTTATGGCATCAAATAAAGTCGAATGGTGAGGAAGAATACACCAAGGAATACCTTCCCACTGCGGTGGTTGTTGCCTGTGGGAGGATGAATGAATGCCGGAGTGAAACGATAGTGCAAACGAAAATTCAATGTGTGGAATAGAATAATCGATTCTAAATTGTGTTATTGTGATGAATAAAAAATAAAGAGCATTAAAATGTTTTATTGAATGAATATGAAGCTGTTTCCGCTTTGAAAGAAGAAATTTCGCTACAATATAGCGATTGACGGTGCAAGTGTGTGTCACAAAGTCGTTGCGGTTCATTCGGGTAAAGAAGAAAATGAAATAAAAGCCGTGTGCCGCCATTTTATTTCACATCACACTCTTGAATTCGCTCGCTCGGGTTGTCGCAGCAGTGAAGTGATACTACATCTACTCACACATGTATACATCAAAGCACTAAACCAAGAAGGAAAAAAATTGGGCAGGCGATTTTCATTGCATTTTTTCTGCGGCAAAATCGTGCTGTAAAAGTGGAATTTTCCTGGAAAAAAACATAAATTGTGGAAGTTTACTATGCAAAGATTGCGAGTGATATGAAGTTTTCCGCGGAGAAGTGGAATTTTAGGTGCAAAGATTGAAAATAAGTCCCTGAAAAGTTTTGCTTGAATCTGAGCGCTGACTTGCACAAATCACGCACACATTGACAAAACGAGAGTGAAAAGCAATTACGTTGTACTCACACAATCAACCGTTCGACGTTTGACGGACTGGCGCTGGTGGTGCTGCGTTCGACGAATCGAAAACGGTACCAAGTTCGCTGCGCCTGGTGCTGCTTATGCTGGGACGTACGTGTTTGAAGCCGTGTCTGCGGATGTGTGCGTGTGCATGAGTGCCGCGCCGTAGGGTCAAGTGAAGCGCCTGTGTTCTTCACTAGTGGCTTGTGTGTTGTGCTTAGGCCGTGTTTTTCCTCGCGATTTTCATGTGGATTATCCCTATAAAAACACAGGTAATTAGCCACAATTACTTTATCAACATCCAAAATCTACTGATCGATAGAAATCCACTCGGTTGACGATCCATAGCGAACGAAAAATTACAATTTTAGGTTCCTCGCCCAGTCTGTGGCTTTCGCAAATGCCGCCCGCCATATTTGGGAGTACAAAAGATGTAAAAATGCGATTTTGATTATCGAATGTAGCGGATAACTGTGAAAAAACGGCCAAAAAGGTGAATTACCCTGGGAAATAACGAAAATCTTCCACCGAATCGTAGTTCTGACATTGTTTTAGGCTGTCAAAATAGGGGAATAACAAATCGAGGTTTGCATTGCGCTCCGCTGCTGTCTCCAGTAGAAGTAAAATTTTCTTTATTCCTGCCTGGCTGCTCGCTCTCTGTATTCGTCGCTCGCACTACTTTGATGGGGTAGTAGTTGGGTACATTTTGAATGGGTTAGTGTGTTCCCGTGTTCATTGATGGCTAGCAAAAAATGCGGTAGTATTGGTGCGATGCTCGGCGATGACTGTTGGCTCGGTTTCCGATTCAGAAGGCAGTGTTTGCAGAATAGGTTGTTTTTGTAGATTGAGTGCAAACTAAAAATGGCTAAAGCGAAATGGAACATTGTGAGACGGAACGCATAATCAAAATAGAACAGGAAATAAGGTTACCAGCAACGTGATTATCTGATGCTCATGTAGAATTAATAGAAGTTCAAACTAAAAATGAACCCCGTTAACATGAATGAAGTATCGTTCAGATAAGCGGGGTTTCACGGTACTCGTACATCTGAAGGTGCAACATTTGACGGCACAAAAGCTTTTGTAAACAATAGTTGTAAGGTCCTTAACACGCTAACCGAAGTATGGCCACGCTAACCGAAGTATGGCCACGCAAACCAATACCACTATTGGAAAAGGGACAATTTCCACTACCCGATGATGTCGTTGGTTGGCGTGGGCGTACTTCGGTTCTCGTGTAAAGGGTCTTACAACTTTTGTGCCGTTTTCAAATGTTACGCCTGCTCTGTGGTATGTGTTTTGATTATTTTTAATAAGTTTTTCAAACATACAGTGTTTTGTTTGTAACTCCTCAAGCTGTTTTTGTTTTGGTCTTGACAGGTCCATCTAGCCGAACTTACGTGTTTGTTGATTTTTTTGATCTGTTTTTTTATTCAGCAGAATGCTCTGAACTGGGGCCTATTTTTTCACCTGCGCTTCTGTTTCTTTTGCTTTATTATAGAGACTTTCTGACTATATCTTTCAGTCCTATTTTTTCACCTGCGCTTCTGTTTCTTTTGCTTTATTATAGAGACTTTCTGACTCTATATCTTTCAGTCCTTAGTTGATTCGTCTCTTTCGTTTAAATCTTGAACGAGGATTATAGTAACTAGATCTAGAAACCCCTCTCCCCGCGTAGATTATCGTCCAGTGGCGCCGCGTAACCTCACTTTTTACCTGTTCAACAACTTTGAAAACCTTATTTAGGGTCATGTTAACATTCAAATCAGTTTCAAAAGGCATAGGGTCTTCTAGTTTCCCTGATTTTTATCCATTGAAACCAATATTGTTTTGTTTGTTTACGTGTTTAGAGTTGTTGAACAGGTAGATTGAGGTTAGGGCGACGCCACTGTTATCGTCCATATATTTTTTTAATTTGTATGCACCGTAGACACTTAGATAGATAGAGCTGAAATAAGGATCAATGTACTTGTACAATGGGCTTGAACTGAGAAAACTGAATCTGAAATTTTGAACAAGAATAATTAAATATAAAATGAAGTATAAACTAATTTAAAAAACTGGACTATTACTAATTATTAAATTATGGGTTAGCATTATTGTGAGATAAATAAAAAATAGTTTTATTTACAGCTCGAAAAAAATGAAACATGCAACACCCTTTTGATTTATATTATCTTGTATCGGCCCGAGGTAATTCGCACGGCTGCGTTCACCGAAGCTATTTCGCCCCTATGTTACGACTGCTAGTTTTTGACGTTGTCTGTTTCACCTCAATGTTTATGTTCTTTTTCCTGATGGTTTATTACTATCGACCTTTTGCGGTTTGTTGCATTCCAGATAAATTGTGGTGTTTTCGCTTATTTTTCAAGTTATATCTTTCGCCTTGTGTTACAAAAATATGTCTGTTTCACCCCATCTATGCATATGGGAGGAAGCGGGCGTAAAACACAATTCAATTTGTAATACAAAAAAGTTGGTTTCGCCTTATGTTTTTTGCCTTTTTTTTTGAAGAATGTACATTATCCAAAAAAAAATTTGATATTGTTTTGTAGCATTTTAATAGTAGTATAACGAAATGCATTAACATCAGTTTGTTTACACTTGCGACATTTGCCGTTATTCCAGCTCTATCTAGACTTGTCAACCCCCAATAAGCTGGAGTATACCTAACCCACAGACAAACAGACATAACACTCGCAAGTTGTTCATCGAACAAGCACTTAACGGACAATTTAAAAGTATCGTAGTTGGTAGTACCGGCACCTGCGGCGCGCATAGTCAATTCCCTTGCGTTTGGTGTTTACACACTACCGCCATCTGTTCAGCGTACTACCCACCACATTGTGCTCAACAGATGGCGGTAATGTTTTAGCGACTATGTTTTTTTTTCCTTTGATTTGTTTTTCGTCGATCTTACCGACGCCAGGGAGGCAGCTCCCACACCTGGACCCTACCTATCGACCCATCAACTCATGAACCGGGGACCAACGGCTTTATTTCCCTGGCGTGATCAGAGATGTTATACCTCAGAACATCCCGGCGGCGCCGACTGGGATTGAACCCAAGCCTGCTGGGGTGAGAGGTAATCACGCTTACCACTACACCACCGGCGCCACTAGCGACGATGTTTTACAAAAAGAATTATTCAATGTGTTATGTCTGTTTGTCTGTGCCTAACCTGTAAAGTAATCTAATAAACATCAAATAGAATGCATGTTTTATTCTTCTTGAGCTCCTCTATCGTGAGATGACAAAGTGACGTAAACGCCACCATTGCCATTTTCATTTTTCACCATATTCGATTTCTGTATCCGTAATGACACCCAACAATACTCTATAAACTTACTTTGATTTTGAAGCATATGGACAGAATGTCGTCCGTCATACAAAACAACTGAAAAATAAAAGCTATTGTAAACATCAGGGCTCATGTTTTAGCTTTGTTTAGATCATATTTCACAGATCCATTGATCATGTTGAAAATAAATATGTTACATACATATTTGAACAATTCACTAATAAATGAATTTACGTCACATTCATCCCTATGCTTTATTCCGTTTGAAACGAATTTCAAATAATTAAAATTGGCATGTTAAATCCTTTTTGAACGGATTACAGAATAGGAGTGATAACCATCCATCTCCAGGGTGTCCAACCATCTGGGAAAAGCGGGAAATTTGAACTGTCGGGAAAAATACGAGAAAATCCAAATCACGCCGGGAAAAATCTTATATACTCATCAATCAATTTCACGATTGAGTTTACTTTTTTACACATCCGTTTACAGCGTTCAAATTCTGCCTTTCACTGTGGTAAACCATCAAAAACCCTCAACATGTCAAAAATGTTACTCTTATGTTTCTCTCACTCACGATCTGTTGGATTTTGCCGTTCTTCCTGCCATAATAGATCGAAGTTAATTTTTAGTATTTTCTTTGGCTGGCAATTCTTTTGCCACAGTTTTCCGAGTGAGTTAGTTCCCGTATCAATCCTGAGCGGGGCAGATCCTGTTACGAAGCTAGTTGAATGTCCGATCTCGAACTCCATGCATGTCCGGTCATGCTTGGTATGTAAGTGTCCAAGACAGGACATTATCAACGATCTAAAAAAAATAGCATAATATGAATGGTCCCTAGATGAATTAAAGATTTAATGTCTATAATTAATGCTAATAAGGTTCACAAGATTAGAATACTATAATACATCATAGAATACCTTGATTGATAAAGATCTGAATTCATCGTAGAGTACCCAGTTGAGTCAAAAGAAATTCAAGATCAGATCTCCCGGATGATTTAGAGAATCCAAAAATGTGATATTTTAGCACAATTAAACATTTTGAATGATGGGTGGACATTAGACTGATGCAAAATTTGAAATTTTCGCTCCACAGTGCTCAAACGGTTCCAAATTGGGCCCTGATTAGCCTCCCAAAATTTGAACTCATTTAGTGAGAAACTGACTTAGCACAAAACATTTGAAGTTTATATGGGAATTACTATGGAGAAACCATAATTTAGATTCATATCAATCTCAAAATACACCAGTTCACTCTACTTTAGAAAATGGTAGCTTAGCTTGTTGAAAATTTTCTCAGCTACAACTTTGTTTAAGACCAGTTTTCGATCAAATGTAAGGAACAAAAGTTATTAATGATTCAAGTCACTGATGTCTTATGATTATGCTCAAGCATCTGTTCAGCAGGCAACATTGGTGTTTGAGGCGCGTAGAATAGAGGACAAAATTCATGGCTACTATGTCACACTGCAGAATACAGAGTTGCCCACAATACAGTTGCTTAATCTTGCCTTAAGATTATCAATCTCTTAAACAATTAATAACTATTTAATTTGACGTTTGGCTGAAAATCGATTTTCTGCAAAGTTGTAGCTGATAAAAATTCCCATAAGAATAGCAATATAATTTGTTAACAGTACAATCTGTAAAAGGATAAAAGACAATGAACAAAAAGTTTTGTTTTACCATAGTAATTTTCATATAAACTACAAATGATTTGTGCCAAGTCAGTTTCTTATCAAATGAGTTTAATCTTTCGGAAGCTAACAGGACCCGATTTGAAACCGTTTGAATACTGTGGAGCGAAAATTTCAAAGTTTGCATCAGTCTAGTGGACATCGTACAAGATTTCGATCAACCTGTAAAATATCTCCAGGACAATGTTTTGGTAAAACATCTTTGTGTCTCACAAAATGTTATTTGGTTTGTAGAATTTCAAGATCTAAACTCTAGGATGTTTTGAAGAACT